ACTCTCCGGGGCGGAGGAGCAGGAGGACCCTGGTTCCTCAGTGCTGCCTGAGCTGGCCCTGATCTACCAGCAGAGTAACATCCAGCTGATGCTTGTCATCATGGCTCTATCCTGTATGGACCCATCTCGGCTTTTGGACCCAAGTTCAGGTTCTCATTTGGATCTCTGTGTAGATTCTTCAGTTGGATTCAGTCCAATGCTGCAGATCAAGGTCTCCCACTCAGCAAGACCCTTACATCTTGGCATTACCTGGTTGCTTAGTAAACACATTTTTCACTGTCTTGGATACAAATGTCAAGGAAAGGCAGGGCTCAGCACATTACTTTCAAGCTGAGTCATAAAAAGCACCTATAGAACCTAAGATCTTGACTCCCTCTGTGTTAGGATGAAGACTGCTCTCAACTGTGTCCTTGTCCCTACCCCTGGAACCTATGAAGGGACCTATCTAAGAAAAAGGGGCCTTGCAAGGGAGCAGCTTGGAACATCTGGGTGGGCCCAATAACCTCTTGTGACAAGAGAGGACAGACAGCATTGACTACAGTGAAGGAAAGAAGTGACCATAGTTGCAAAGACTGGAGAGATGGGCCAAGAGATGTGGCCTTTGTAGGGTCCCTTTCCCCAAGACTGGGGGAAGAACGAGCACCACCTATGCCAACACTAGTCCAGAGGAAATGATTTTGGGCCTCTGGCCTCTAGAGCTAAAGGAGAATTATTTGGCTTGTGGTGCTTTCTGTTTGGTTGGTGTTTATCTTTTATGTTTTCTCCATGCTGAGGGTTGAACTCAGGGCCTGGTGCATGCTAAGGAAGTGTGCTACCACTGAATCTGACCCCTATCCCAGTTTGTAGTGTTTTAAGCCACTACATTTGTGGTCATGTGTTTTAACAGCCACAGGAAAGGATTCCACTGCTCTGCCATGAGTCACCTAAGGTCCATGTCCTCTCTATCTATACGGCCAGCAGCCAAACTAGACCTGCTGAGGCAGCCTTCTTTCTTCCCTCACAGTCTTCTCATTTGGGAAACTGTCTGATCTGCTGTAGCCAGGGCCACTCTGTCCCTCTCACCATGGCCCCTCTTGGTGGGTACAAGCTGGGTTCCACCACTACCTCAAGTGCTCTCACCTGCCCACCACTGGGGATGGAGCTGCCAAGTGTGGCTTGGATGGCTGGGGCTGCCTTCTCCAAACCCACATCACAGCAGGCTTTTGGGTTTCTAGTGTTGTTTCTGAGAGGCTTTAAAACACCCGGTTGGTCTCTTGCTGTGTCTCTGAAGATAATGCCATTTGTGGGTTTCTACAGCAGGAATGGTGTAGTGGGAACTCTGTTTTTGACTGAAATAAAATCAGACACCTGGGAACATTTATATTTTAAGTTGGGAAGAGCCTGAGAAGTGACAGGATAGTCAGCAAAAATGTCTTAAGTTTCTATAGAAAAAAGGTTTTTGCTTAATAAAAACTTACAAAGACTTGGTCAGGAACCCTATCAATAAAAACAATTAACCAACAACAGAACTATCTATCTAAATTGAAGGTCACTTTTTATTATTTTAGAAAAATGCTTATTTTCAATTATAGTATAATCTGGGAATGAAGGTTATGGCACAAAAATCAAGTTTTAGTAAGAATTTTGTAAATATAGGAGGTAACTTTTATACACCAAACATCTTTGAATATAGTACTTTTTAAAAACAGTTCACTGCTTTTAGGGTAATTTAAATAGCTAACTGTCCAGGAAAAGTCTTGTTATGACATTTTGTAACGTGAAGGAAAATTTGTTTAGGCAACAAGAAATCTTAGAAAGAGTAGACCCAATATTGCTGTGTAATTCAGAAATAGGAAGAGAAATGCATTCCCTGACTTTTTCTTTTCTTTCCTCTTTCCTTTTGCAGTGCTGGGGATGGAATCCAGGGCTTCATGTGTACTGGGCAAGTATTCTACAACTGAGTTACATCCCCAGCCACCATTTCCTGTTTTAAACAGATAAGGTTCATACATTATATCTAAAATATCCTGAACTAATGGCAGGAATTGATTGATCACTGTAAAAAAAAGTACCCTCTTAAATCATTAAGTACTTTCTAGAAGTATTTACTGTTGGTGGAGAGCCATGAATTAATGTTTCAAATATCAGAAAAAAAGTTACAAAGAATAAATTTCAGAAAAAAGGGCTTTCTTCACTAATACTGAAGAACTACAGGAAGTATTAGTAGTAACCCAAACTTAAAACAGACTTACACCTCATTTTAAAAATTTTTATCTTTTGCAGAGGCAGGGAATTAAACTCAAGGCCTCACACATGCTAGGCAAGTGTTAGGTCACTGAACCACACCCTGCCCAGCCCATAGGTTAATTTTAAATACAGTGATGTCTGAATTATATTCATAATTTCTATCTTGGGTATTTTTGTGTAAGAGCGCTATGATCTATCAACTTACTTATCCAGATCAAAGAAAGCCAAACTATATCAGAACTAGATTGGCTTGCTCTTTTCTCCCTTTTCTTGGGAAACTTAAGGTACTTTTTTGGGTCAATTTTATGAAAAAAAAAACTCAATAAAATAAATCTTAAAAAGTGAATAATAAATATTTTAGAATTAAAAAAATGGATTTGGTCCCTGGGACTATAGTGATACTGACATTTTTTAACCACCATAGACTGTGTCAAGGTGACTATACTTCTAAAAACAGGGATGTAAGAAGTAACTGTATGAGAGGCTGGGGATTTAGCTCAGTGGTAGAATGTTTGCCTAGCAAACATGAGGCCCTGGGTTTGGTTCTCAGCACCAAAAAATTAAAAAAAAAACAACAACAACAAAAAAGAAAAAAAAGAAGTAACTGTGTGTATACTGTGGATTGAACATCATGTGTGTAAATAGGAATAGCATCTGAATTTTAAACTAAACTTAGATATTTTAAATTTTCCCTATTAACTCAACAAAAATTTAGTGTCAATAAAACTTCCAAATCATTAACAGGCTGGAAAAAAATATGTTTGGAATTTTGTCCATAGGGAGAGGCAAGTTCTATTTTTATTGCATATTTCAATGCCTAAAATGATTAATTAGAGAGCAATTCCATACTTCCTATGAGGGACAAGGAGCCTATCCTTCAAGATACAGGTACTTCAGCCGGGCATGGTGGTGCACACCTGTAATCCCAGCACTCAGGAGGCTGAGGCAGGAGGATTGCTGTGAGTTTGAGACCAGCCTGGGCTACATAGTGAGTTCCAGGTCAGCCTCAACTACAAGGTGAGACCCTGTCTCAAAAAAAAGAAAAAGAAAAAAAAAAAAGATACAGGTACTTCAAATAGCAACACAGTGCAAGGCATATTTCCATTTCTCATATGAATTGAAATCAGTATAAGCCACCGGGCATGGTGGCGCATGCCTGTAATCCCAGCCCTCGGGAGGCTGAGGCAAGAGTATCACTGTGAGTTCGATACCAGCCTGGGCTACATAGTGAGTTCTAGGTCAGCCTCAACTACAAGGTGAGACCCTGTCTCTCAAAAAAAAAAAAAAAAAAAAATCAGTATACTATGTGCCAGTAAAATTCCATAGGCGATGTACTCTATTGTAAAATCTTTTTAATAAATTAGTGGTTTTTAAGTGTGTGAGTCTAATGTCACATTCCTATACACATGGACTAAATGTATTGACTAGGCTGTGTTCAGTTAAACTGGCATTTTCATGAACATATGAATTTTATTTTATTTTATTATTATATTTTTTTGTACCAGTGAAATTATTATTTTTTTGAACTCGGGTCCCTGTGCTTGCAAGGCAGGCAGCAGAACCACTGAGCTAAATCCCCAGACCTAACATATGAATTTTAAAATGAAAAGCTAAATATAGTTATGGTTATCACTTTCCAATCCCATTCAAAATTTAATGGTGGATAAACAAGTAGCTTATTGTTATTCCCATTTATCACAACAGATCCTAAAGAAATAAGTAAGTAGGGCCAGGGATTTAGCTCAGTGGTTCTGCCGCCTGCCTTGTAAGCACAAAGACCGGAGTTCCATCCCTGGTACCAAAAAACAAAAAACAAAAACCCAAATAAGTAAGTGTTCACATTCATCCTGCAAGTTGGCTTGTGCTCTCTGATGATTACTGTTGCAGTTGCTAGAAGGAGGGAAGGTTTTTATTAGAATGCTTTTCACTGGGGGAGATCAGTCCTGCTGCACCCACTGCGTGTGATGAGTTAGAAGTCATGCATCTACAGTGGCCCAAGGCATAAACCACATAAGCCAGGAGTACTGAGGAAAGGCATACAAATTATTTTCTAGAGGGCTTAATTTGGCTTCCAGGATATGGAAACTTAGCATTTTTCAAATCTAGGTGGTTGATTATAAAAGCGCATCCTGAGGTAAGCAGACCACACCAATGATTCACAAACAAAAGCAGTTGTGCACACAGATCTCAGCATTGGAAATCACACTCTTCATCAGACTGTTAGGTATCTCCCTTTACAATACAGAATGGGTAGTATGCTGTAGAGGGTGGCCCCAGTGAATTACCAAGAACTTAATTTATTATTTTAGTATAAGTGCTGCCAGAGTGAGCACAGGAAATTAATTTATAAAAATAAATGAATTAAATGAGAAAATAAAAGAACTTCTGCTGAAAAAGGACAATGCTCAGTAGGAGTTGGAGGAGAACGGTGGGGACAGTGGCTGGAGACAGGCTCAACATTTCTATCAATTCACAAGTGAATGACCCAAGCCCCACAGCAGCCAAGTCCTACAGAGGACTCTATCCTCTTCCAGCTGCACCCACACATAAATAGCTCCTTGCCAGGACAGCTCCTGTGTGGGTGGAAAGCAGGGTGACCCCACCACCAGCACCACTCTTAGGGCCATAAATCCCAGACACTTATTCATGGTTTAGAAAGCAAACAGCTACCCACAAACAATGGTTAGGAAACTTAAAGTGTTTTATTTTTGTATTGTTTTCTTTAAAAAAAGTAGTTCATCATTGATGCATCTGTATAAATGATTTTCCTGGTGACAGTAGTTAACTTTTAATGACTCACTCAAAATTTTCACAACTTCCAGTATTTGAAGTGCACTTAAATTTCCCCCTGCTTTTATTTGTGAATTCTCATAGGGTTTAGCTAACTTATGAAGAGTTTCTTTTAAAAGAAAGTTCATAATCTTTACCAATATGTATGACAAACCAACAACCTCTGAATCCATGTCCTTTTCAACAGTACTGTTATTCCTGAAAGGAAGGTGATGGTGGTGGGGATAGGCATACCTGTACCACTCAAATCAAAGCACAAAATATTTAAAAAATAAGTACCTAAGACATACCTGCCACACTTTTATGTCAGTTTCCTCAGCATTGCAAAGTGCTCTCAAGTGTCCCCACGTCCCCACCTGCCTCCCACCAGCAGCCTCTGTGGCCCTGACCTACTCATTGTACCTCTGGAGGGTAACTGCTCTTTGTCAATTGTCATGAAGCCTGTAGCTTGTCATCCTGTGCTTCACATGCAATTTCAGAAACTCAGATGACACTATGTGGACTCACTCTGAATCTTTTTTTAGTGCAGTTTGGCAAATATCCCAAATGAAATTCAACTCTAAGTTAAAAGTATCCAGCTGAGATAGAGCTAAGTGCGTCTGTAACTTTCTGGGCTGCTCAGGGGCTTGGTGAGCTTAGCGACAGAAAAGCCAATTGTCCGGGGGCTGAAGGGCTGCAGACACCTGTCGCTTTATCACAACAGAACAGTTACCCAGAGAGACCGCGGGAGCCCAGAGGCCCCTCAGCAACCAGGCTGCTGCACTGCTGCGAATATCTTTACTCGCTACCCCTTGCCCGCACCTCCCAATCTCAGAAATGTTGGTATCATCCCGCTGGAACTCACAGCGCTAAGAACAGCAAACATTTAAATACGGAGCCCTGATTGATAGATTCTCTCCACCCGGGACTCTCCTGGGACTCCAGTGCGCTCTCCATTTCAGGATCTGATGATTTGAACTGAACTTTGGTTTGGTTTTCTAGAAAAAGGGTATCAAAACCGTCTGGAGAGACCACGGCTAGATGGCCAGGTCCCCCGGTTTGGCCCGTCCGCTGCTGGCCTTGCTCGACCTCTCAATGTCCCCAAGGAGCAGGGCGGGCTCCTCCACCTGCGCCTCGGCCTCCGCGATGCCGGCCCGCACGCTCCCCTCCAGG